ACAGGAAGTGGAACAAACACAACAAACTTACTAAACTTGTCTACTATAACCGTAACCTGGCTCTTTCCATTTCTGCTCTTTTCGACGGAATAGGTAGCGGTCTGAGTAAACCAAGGGAAGGTTGTGTGGAACTTTTGTTCCTTTGACAAACCTGACAGCCTTGCACATAGGAAATGCAATCATGCTTCATTCACGGCCATGTGTAGGAGCGTAGGAGGTTAGCATACGTCTTTCTCCATTCGAAATGCCCCTCAGTATCGTGGTTTTCCCCAAGTATTACGCTACGAATTTCCTCGCTGTTCGGAACGCATAGTCGGTCATGGACATCTGTTTTTTCAAACAGCAGTCCCTGTGTGACTCTATAGTTCGGGACTTCGTGAGGTGTCGTCTACACCTTGCTAATCAACTGGCTATAGAATGGATCTCTTGTATAGGCAGACTTAATCTTTTCTTGTAATTCGGTGCTTATGTGACAATGGCACCAAAAAAGTCAGCCCTTCAGCTTAATGCGTCAGCGGCAACATTGTACGTCAACTCAAAGTCGAACTAATCAATCTCCCCAGCCCACCTGGTCAATTTAGGTATCATCTGAGCCTGGGTTTTTAGCCAGCGAAGTGTCTCATGATCTGAGTAAACTTTGAAGTGGCGTCCTCGCAGATAATGTCGCCAGTGATTCAATGCTTCCCTCAGAGCGAACAACTCCCTCTCATAGGTAGAAGCGACGACCTCACTAGGCAGTCTATAGAACATAAACTCTACAGGCATGTACCCATTCCCATCGTCTTGCTGGAGTACAAGACCAATCCCGTATTGACGGGCGTCAGTGGTTACGATAAAGGGTAGAGATGGATCCGCAACTTTCAGCACCAGGTAATTAATCAAACACTTCTTTAAACACTTGAAGGACGCAGTACAATCCTGATCCCATTTCCAGACTATTTCTTTCTTCAGCAATCTGCGCAATGGGGCAGCTATTACCGTAAAGTTCCGAACGAACTTGTGGTAATAGTTGGCCAGACCAAGAAACGAGCGCAGTTCCGTCAACCTGCGTGGGTTGGGCCAATCTCTAATGGCTGCAATCTTAGCGTGTTCCGGTTTAATCCCATTACCGTCTACCATATGTCCTAAGTAAAGGACCTGACTCTTTGCCCACTCACACTTCTTCGGGTCAATCTTAAACTTTGCCTCTCGCAATTTGTTAAGCACAATTCGAAGGTGCTCCTCATGCTCTTCCAGACTCTTGCTAAAAATCAGTATATCATCTAAATAAGCAACAACAAATTTATCAAGCCAATCACGAAACAACTCATTCATACATCTCTGGAAGGTTGCAGGGGCATTAGTCGAGCCAAACGGCATCACCACAAACTCATAGTGCCCATATCTCGTTCGGAAAGTCGTTTTGTGCTGAGCCTCGGGCAGTACCTCAATCTGATGGTATCCCGACTTCAGATCAATCTTAGAGAAATACTTGCAACCCTGAACTCTATCCAGGAGATCATATATACGTGGTAACGGTTCTGCATTCTTAACGGTTATCGCATTAAGTCCCCTATAGTCTATGCGCATTCGCAGTTCGCCGCCCTTCTTTGGTACGAACAGGACTTGTGCACCGAATGGTGAGGAACTTGGTTTAATCCACCCCTTCTCAAGCAACTCATCTCACTGCTTTCGCAGCTCATCAAGCTCTTTTGGAGACATTCTATAGATAGGGCCCTTGGGAATATGGTTACAAGGTTTTAACTCTATCCGGTGCTTGGTTTCTCTCTCCACCACTCCACTTGGGGCCTCTCCAACATCAACGAACTCAACAAGCAACTTATGTAGTTTGGGGGGTATCGGTACGTCCTCTTTCTTTTCTTCATTCACCGGGCGCATGCAACAAACACTGTCGGCGAGGTCATTCTTGACCACATACCAGGCGAACGCGGGGGCACTCATGCAACAAAAGGATAGGCTATTCTCTATGCCAGATGCTGGTAAAGTCGAATTTTCTTTTTCCCACCTGTAGGACTAGGCAAACAACACTCATGCTCACCCAGTTTCACATCTGCATTGGCGGCCTCACCCCAGTCATTTCGTAGAATCATGTCAAAAGGGAGACTGTCCTCCACTAGAGTGTCAGGGAGTGCAGAACACGGTCCACGTTTCCCCCAGCCCCCAACCGGAAGTATGTTGTAGCCCCTTCAACATATCTATCAACTACCATTTCTCTATTATCTGCAAGTTCACTTACGATGGGTTGTTCTAATTTCTGAACTTTAAGCTGTAACCGCAGCTTTTGCAAACCCTTCTTACTGATATAGCTGCGTGTTGACCCACTATCCACTAGTGCGCCAACCCTGACTCATGTGACTTCTACATCTGCAATTATCAACTACCCTTTCTTTTTTTTCATCCCGGCCAAAGCGTGGCGACGAGTGATCAGTTCATCACCTATGCTTGCAGGGGAACCACCTAGCGAGGGGAACAACCTCTGGACAGTTAACTAGGTGGGGACCATCTACCGTCTCAGTCTTTGCCATTGGGACCTCTTGATGGGAGGTTGACAGTCTGCTTGCATCCAGAGTCCCTGTAGAGGCAACTGCAACCGCTACTGGCCGTTCCCTTTTGGGTACCTATAATAAGGACAGAAGGGAACAATGTGGTCGGGGTCAGCACATTTGAAACATTGGTCGGCCTTGCGATGTTCTTCCCATGTTTTCTCGTCTATACCCATTTCTAACCAAGGTTTGCCTTCAGCTATCCCTGGGTGTTCCGGGTACGGCCGTCTAGCTCTACCTCTTCCCCTGTAGAGTTGGGACCTCTACCTCCTTGCGAGGGACCATGACCCCTACCTCCCATATAGTAGCTTCCTTCGCCACCACCCCTCTAGGCGGCGGGTCATCTTCCTCCACCACGACCACGGCCTCCTCTTCCTCTACCACGGCCTCTTCCTCCTTGTCGCCCTCCCCCGCGGGCTGCAACAGCCGCATAGTTCCCTCCCTAGGCTAAGTGACCATTGCTTCCCTCTTCTAACCCATAGTCTATCTGGTCATCGGTAAGTGACTCCACTCCTCCTTCTTGGAAGGTGACCGCTAAGTTATCTTTACCTGCTATATTCCTTGAGATCGTCCGGTCTTTCCATTTCTTGCCGGCCTGCAGGTCTTCTCTTCTCTAATAATATATATATAATAATATAATACTCTAAAGGAAGAAGCGGGTCTCGCGTGACGGGCCCAACAGAAACCGGGCGCCGCCGCACGGGCCCGCTCCGAGGCAGTGGGGCGAGGGGGAACCGGTGGCGCGTTGGTGTCGGCATAGCGAAAGCCAACCCGTCGGTCCGTGAGGCGGGACTGGGGTGCTGTGGGTCTGCGTGGCGGCGTTTGGTGGTGGGCTGATGCGGGCCTGAGTGCAGTGCGGTGCGGCGCGTCAGCCTGCGTTTTTTTTTTTCTTTGCCCGTCGCCCGGGGCACGGGGGACCAAACTGCGTTATCGGAGCGCTGCTTTGCGGGGATCAACGGTGGGTGTGTGTGTGTGTGTGTGTGTGTGTGTGTGTGTGTGTGTGTGTGTG